TCAAACACGCTTAATATCATGCCTGTTAAATATCACAACAGGGTTATATTCACAATATTTTTGACAAGAGATTTTTATTTCACAATATTTTAAACTCTCTATATACTTTTTGAAACATATTCGAACTTGCTTAATGAAAACTTTCCTAAAATCACGTAATTCTCGACATTAAAATATCTAATTTCATTAAATTTCGCTCTTTCACCAAAAAAAATCCATATTGTAAACTCAACTATGAAAGCGAGGCTATTTTTCACTTAATTTTCTCTGTGATCTTCCATAATCTAATGATTTAATCAATCAGTTCAACATTAATATGGGTTTTTTTTTGTTTATTATTATAATATTATGTGTGTTGTAAGTGTAAACTGAAATGACCGTGACCCTTTATAGATTTTGTGGGGTGAGATGATTATATGAATGTGATATTACTTAATAGTGCTAGTTTCTGTTTTTATATATTTAAATTATTTTTCGTGTTGAATATTTTAACGAATGTAAAATTTGCATAAATTTCTTATTATTTAATCTTTTTCGTTATATATTTTCTCTAGTCTTTTCATATTTTTAGCGTATAATGTATTAAATGTGCATCTTTCTCAATTTTACAATCAATTTTTGAGAAACAAATGTTGCATTATGCTTAATTTTCGATTGTGAATGGTTATAAAAATGGTAAACAAAATGACATATTTAAAAATTTGAAGAAATTATAAGAAAATTAAGAGAAGAGTAGAAGGAGAAAAAATAAAAATTAAGCAAATAAAATTATGATAAAGATTTAAATTTTTGTATTAAATTTATTAGCATATTAAGTAAATTATAAATTAAATTTAAATGATTTTGGATTGCTTAAAAATTGCATATAAATTTCATATATTTTGTCATAATTATAGTTTTAAATTATTTCTATATTAAATTTTTCGTAATTTTAAAATATTTTTAAAATTTAAGATTAATGAATTATTACCGTATAATATTTAAGTTTTTTTTAATAAGATATTACGTAATAAATATTTTTTAGAAATATAAGATAGGAAAAGTAGTTAAACGAAATTTTTTACTAATTTTAAACGATTTTGAATGAATTCATTGTTGTTAATTTATTTGTCATTTTTTGTGCTAAATGTAGCAAAAATTGCAATTCAAGTCAAAATTAGTTATGGGTGAATTAATTTTAAATAAATTAAGATGAATATGCGGAAATAATATAATAAAAAATGTTCAAATTTTTATTATGCACTAATATTATAAATTTTTATTCATTAACATCATAAAAGAAAAGTAAAAGGTTGACAAAATGACTTGCAATACTTGAATTTCTTTAAATAATAAATTACGTAGTTGATTAAAATTAGAATATCGCTAATCGGCGATAGAATCGATAAGTCGAATTTTAATATTAAAATAACAACAAACTTGTGGAAAATATATACAAAAAAATTGTCAAAAAGGTCTAGTTCCCGAGGATTGATATATACCGAAAATTGATCAACCCGTGACATAGCCAAAATAAATAGATATATGGAATTTCATTCAAAGCATATCAGCCGAATTTGAAATAGACCGGCAAACCGACATCTCTCTAAAAGTAGTTTATTTACTCTCTTATTGTATCTATATAATCTCTCTTATTGTATGGAATCCGGTCAATAAAAATTGATAGTACGAAAGAATTGCTTTTTCTTTTTGATGCGGCAATTCTAAATTTCGACTTTTATAGTCTTAACCTGTTAATTTTGTACTTGCAAAGTGAATTGAATGAAGGATATTAAATAAAGTCATTGTTTTGTAATCGTTTAATGGATTTCTTCCTTGTGTATGAAGCGCTGAATTTACACAATATGTAAGTTGGTTTTATATACATATAGGGATTTAACTCTATTATTGAATTAAAAAATATTATTGAAATAAAAACAAAATATTATAAGAATTAGTTGTATTTGTTAAAATTTAAACATTGACAATTAAAACAATGAATTCGGTCTAAAGTACTCCTAGATATGAATGATTTCCTTATTACTAATTGAATTCTATTCAATATTTATTAAGCAATAATATTCATTGATAATGTGGTTTACATTCAAAATTTCATGAAAGAAAACATTTATACCATTGTAGCGAATTCAATTTTTAAGGATTTTACAGACATTGTGGTTTTTAATTTTCAATATATTAAAAATAAATTTGGTGTGGTAAGGTGGAATCTGTCTGTTATTATGAAAGTATAAATTTATTTTATGATCTTTTCATTACATAAAACCAAAAATTAAATTTCTTTATTGACTACTTTTTTTTTTGGATTTTGTTGCTTTTACCTTGATTGATAGCTTCAGGGTAAAAATATTCGATGTAATTATTAATCGATTTTTATACTTTTTTTCTTTCTTTCTCTCTTATATTCCAATTATGTTAAAAGATGATTTTATTTGGTTATGACGCTCTTTAAAAGTGAAATTTGATGTAACTTTTATTTAATTTTTGTTACGATTTTTTTGTTTTTTTTTTTTGTTAAATATTTTATATAAAAAAATTCATTTCATTGTATTTTGCTTTGGCGATTCATTTTCAATACCACGAGAGACAATACTTTATCACATATCTATATATAATTGGCAAATCTTTAAAATGCAATACCTCAATTATTTTTTAAAAATAATTATTTAATCATTAGAGAAAAATGTGAATTTAATATTTTTTTTATTTTGTATAGGAATTACGATTATAATAGAGACTCGTTTTGTTGTGAATCAAAAAAAGTATAATTGCAATCTGCAATATTGGGAATAAAACATGAATTATTAATTTCGATATTGTTTCGATGTTGTTTAAATTTAAAATTTTTATTTTGGACAATTGGTTAATAACAAAGGTAAATACTTAAATATAAAGCTGCAATCATAATAAGTCACAATAACATTAGTTTGATATTTTCAGCAATTAATATACGCCGAGGGTTACATAGGTTTCTGCATAAAGAATGAAGACAGAAATGCTCTTCTCCTCCTGGACGGGGGCTACAATGGGCTGCACCGAAATATATCTTTCTTAAAAAGAATATTCAGAAGTATATTGGTTCTCCAGTAAATCACCGTGCCCTAGCGGGTGACTATGATGGTCTTTATCCCCAAAGTGGGAATAAGGGACTTGGTGCCCAAGTCATTCAAATCGATTAACTCTACATCGTTTTTATTGAAGACGATGGAAAAGATAAAAGACAATTACATCCGAACTTTGGTGCTGGTATGGAGACTGTTGAGTGATTGTCTGCGTGCGTACCAAGCAGGGAAGTCGGCAGAGACCGCTATGTTCTAGCTAATTATAACTTGGGAAAAGAACAAAATGAGGTAACTCTATATGCGTTCTTGGATATCGAAAAGGGGCTTCCGACAACACTTTAGATGAGGCGATTTCGGGTGTCTTGGTGAGTAAAGATGTGGACTTCTGTACGCATGTCCTGCTAGGGAATGCCCACATGTTTGAATTCTACCTCTGCTGAGTTTGGTTATGAATGAACTGTTTCGTCAGGAAATTATTGGCTAGGCTAATGATGATATTGTCATTATCGCTGAGGGCAAGTTTGTAGAGGATCTTTGTAACATAGTCCGAAAATTTATTATGCGAAATATTTTAAAAAGTCTTAATAAGTTTTTTATAAAATTTCATTGACGTACAGTATTTTTTTCTACAAAATTAGACATAGAGGATGTGATCGTATAAGATGGGATACCATCTTTTATGTGGCGTACCGTCATATTTAAACAAATTATTTTGATATTTTTAAATGGGCTTTACTGTTATTGCTTTATAATATTATACAAAACCACATACAACATACAAATTTCAAGTTAAAGCTTTACGGTTTTAAAAGCTATAATATAAGTTAGTGCATTATAAATTTATTATAATAATTTGTAAATGTAAACTATGTAACCTTCTCCCAAACATATGCAATCTAATAATTTTTGTGTACAAAACGGTATTATTATTTTGCTCGTTGTATATTCTTAGGTTTGTCAATTTGGATTTAAAGTTCATTTTTTATGTTCCATAATATTTCCACATGTGCGAAATTGAAAAAAACTAATTTTAATCTGTAGTTCATAGTTACGTATACATTCATAATAATTTTGTAATTATTGTTTTAATAAACATAGAGTAAGTCTCAAAATACTAGATTCGCATTATATTTCTCAAATATTGCTGTACTATATAGCGCTATATAGAAGTTTGCTCTTGTTGGTATTGTTGTTGTTTGTAGAAAAAAAGGACACAAATTATATTTGTCTACAACTTTGTAGAAGGTGTTAATTTAAAAATTCAATAAAAAATTTTTTTTTTTTTAGGTAGAAAGGCCTACAGATGCTTTTTATTATTAAGAATCCGGGTGGTAATTTGAAACAAATTTAAACGAGGTTTCGCTAATCATTTTACTTGAATATTATATACATCTAGAAATAAATTATTTAATTTTCCAAATGATTTAGAAAATTAGCAAAATCACATATAGGTACTTAAAGCTGCTAATTTAATTTTCTATGAAGAATTAGCAATTAAAGAATTTATTTTAAAATGAAATTCACTTTTAAATTTTTATGTTAATCATCATAGATGTGAAGATATTGGTACATATTTCAATATGTACGTATATGTATTTTGAGTGAGTAAATACTCGTATGTATTGTAAATATTTGATAGATTGAGTGATGGTGCGTACACTAACAAGAAATTTAATTTTATAGAATTAACTAGACCTTTATGTTGTTGAATATTTTAATTTAAAAGTAAAATAGAAATTTATTTGCTTTATAAATAACGAAAAATTATTATTATTAGTATAAGCAAAATGGTTTGAACTACAAACATTATAATCTTATACATATTTCACAGCTCGAATAATAGAATCATAAACTTTTTTCGTAAGATTTTTAGAAATAAATTATGTAAGAATTTTTAGCAAGAAATTATCTTTGTGAGACGGAAAACAAAACACACATGCGTTAACAGTAATAAGTGAAATTTTGTTCCAGTTTTATTGAAAATTTAAATATAAAATTTTTTTGTTGAAATATCAGTGAGGCATTGGCTTTTAATTTTAATTTTCTCCAAATAATCGAATTTTAAATCCAAATACTACATTTAATAAGTAAATATCAGAGTATATCGGACTATTACAACATAATATACTATACCCATTAATTATAAAGTATAACTAAATATGACTTAGATTTACAAAATTAATATTAGAACTTCGAATTTCGAATAAAATTTAAGAACTTGTGGTAGATATATGTGATGATACACCAATTGATGAAGCAGTCGTAGTAGATTGTGTATCAGTATTTGTTGGTATATTATCAATTGATCCTAATCTGTGAAATTTCGATATATCATGCGAATTTAAATCATTTGTATTCCCTGATATTAAACCTCCACTGTTTTGTGTTGTTGAAGATCCTTCATTTGTACTATAACTTGAATGACTTGATGGTTTTGATTCTATTGTTTCACCAATTCCACTATTTGGATTATATGAAGGACTAGTTATTATACTTTCAGAAATTCCACCATTTTGATTATAGCATGGATGTTGATTTGGTGGAATTTGTAAAGCTGATACTCCAGGATAATAAATGCATGGATTATAAGATGGTTTTGTTTCAACAGTTTCAGATATTCCACCACCATTTGAATTTGGATAAGATGGTTTTGATATTACAGTTTGAGATAATCCACCATTTGAATTATATGATGGATTAGTTATTATAGATTCAGAAATACCTCCATTATTTGGATAATAGCAGAGTGAAGATGATGGTTTTGTTACAATAGTTGTTGATAAGCCTCCATTAGAGTAGGACGGTTTCGTTTCTATATTCTCAGATAATCCTGAATTTGGTAAACAATTTGGATTATAATATTGATAGTAGGCATAATTAGTTGATGGAGATGTATGAATTGTTTCCGATAATCCACCATTACTATATGATGGATATGATGGCCTTGATATAACAGTTGTAGATAAACCACCATTTTGATTATATCCTGGATAATATGAGGGACGTGATTGAATAACACTTGATAGACCACCATTTGATGGATAATATCCCTGATAAATTGGTCTATCTTGATACAACTGTTGACGAATGTAACGTAACGGATTGGTTGAGTATGGTAATGATGATGATGGTCTATAATCATTAATTGGTCTATTTTCAACAATTCCTAATCCTGGCTCTGCAGTATAATATGATTGGCGAGTTCTTCTTGTATACTGATTTTGTATGGGTCTATCTTGATGTAGTTGTTGATGTTGTTGTTGAGATTTCAACTCTTGTTGGTATTGCTGTTGTTGTTGTTGTTGTTGTGCAACTTGTTCAGTTGGTTTTGGTAAATGATCACCGGTTGGTTGAAAACCATTTTCATCAGCGATATATTGTAATTGAATAACATTTCCCTCTGGATCATAATAACTATAGGAACCTGTTTGTACAAATACATCTTCTTCATGTGCCTCTACTACCTTTCCATTTGCATCTTCATACTGAGGTACTTGAATTCGTTTAAAATATCCATGATTTTCAACTCTTGTTCCGTCAGAACTTTCATAACTACATTAAAAAAAAATTTTAAGCAATAAAATAAACATTTAAGAACTTTAATAATTACCTTGAGTTAAAACTTCCGTCAGGTAAAGTGTCTTCTGATTTTGATATAATTTCTATTGGTGCAGCATGTTGTTGCTGTTGTTGTTGTTGTTGTGGAGCTTGTGGAAATGAATAAACACAATTTGTTATAATTAATCCAATAATTAGAAATGATAGTTTATTCCACATTATAATTGCTGCTCACTTAATCAAAATAAAAATCACATAAGAACACGGAATAAAGTTCTAAAGAGACCGGACTCAATTTAAAAACTAATTTCTAATTTCTAAATTTTCGTTTTTATATATGGGCTTGAATTTTGAATGGGGATAAATTATTTAATTTTTAAAAAATTATGTTTACTTATGTACTTTTCAATTGCTGTGGTTAGCAGTCACAGTAATGTTAATAAGAAAATCTCACACATTTTTTTTTCGTAATTTTAATTTTATTTTTAGACAGATACAGGGTGATCGATATTCAAGAACTTTGTTCTACTATGTTTTTCTGTTCTCATTCTTCTCACTTTCTATTTCTCTCCACTCTACACTATTTTATCTTTAAAAACTTTCTATGTGCATTGTAGCAAGCACGCGAGTTTCGAAGTTACACTGAACGAAATTCAAGAAAGAGGAGATGGGAAATTACAATGAATTAAGGAGAAAGAGTGCTTTTTTCATTATTGTGGTTATTCAATTACTCACTCAAATTAAAACTGGATCAGTCAGAATAGTTGTAAAAACGTAAAGAGTAAGTGAGAATTAAAGTATCACAATAATGAAGAGTTTTATAGTGCGTTTATGATTCTCTCTGTAGACAATTCTCTTGTTTACTCTTTACAATAAAGTTAATTAAGTTGAAACGATATCTTACTTTGTTGCAATCAAATGCAACCTGAATAAATTGTAAATTTGAAAATTTTTTTAATTTCCAAAACATCCCGTATATTTCAACCCTCACAACGTGCACATCGTATAAATGTGACTATTTTTTTTGTTGTTTTATACCTACGTACTTATGTACATATTGTACATGAATTTTATGTACTAAAAATTTGATTCGGCTGGAGTTTATCAGAAATGAATTTAAATACCATAACACATTAGTACACACGTTTAATAAACAATTTTAATTTTAGAGTTTTTTTTTTTTTTTAAGATAAACCAAGGTCTAGAAAATATTATTGAAAAAAAGTTTACTTTTATTTTTGATTCATATTTACTTTAACATAACAGCACAAAAGCAACAAAAATAGTAACCTAAACGATGATGCTAAATTTTAAGAATAATAACTAAAATAATAATTATTATAATAATGATTTATGTTTTTGGGGTAAATACTAAAAAATCGATATATATGTATGTGTGTATGAATGATTCAATATAGCGAATTTAAAGTAGTCATCTTAATTTTTGTATTTGTAAATTATTATTTGCATTTGAGTATATTTTACTTGGAAGGTGTATCATCTATCGTGTCTGTATTGCTTAAATAAATATTTGATATTAGTGATGAATTTATTTTAAAAATGTGATTGATTAAAAGATTAATATTATTAATGCATACTTAAATATTAATGAAAAATTATAGTGCTCTGAATAAATGAAACAATAGCTTTAAATAGTCATCGTTTTAGTAATTAACTCGTAATTAATTTAATTAAGTAGAAAATTAAATTAATTGCGAATAAAATTTTTAAAGTAGATATTTGATTCAAAAATTGTTTTCTATTTTCAATTATCTTAATAATTTTTTGAAGACTAATTGGTTAGAATAAGATTGATAAATGATTGTGCGTAAAAGGAGTGTATTACTATCCGATTCATTACATCCTTAGGGAATTTTGAATATTTGTTACGTTTGTACCTAATATTGTTTGAAATAAACAATATGTTCGAACATCCCTTTATATTTAAAATGAACAGAAATAGCAGATATAGCGCGAAACTCTTATTTTTTGTTCAAAACTCAGCGAATATTGCCTTGTGACTCGACTTTTAAATAATCAACCCGAATTCTTCGAATTTCTGGTCAAATACTTTAATTTGAAAGCCAGCTTTATAGTGTCCTGTAATAAAGTGAAGTTAATATGATAAAAGCTCTGAAATTCTGTGAAATTATAAAATAAAATTATTACAATAAATTTTTTCAATAGTTTTCTTCCATTTTTCTGTTTATTGACAATCGCTTTCAGACTTTTCCATATACACATAAATAAAAATAAGTAAAAAAAATCAAAATTATAAATTAAAAAAAAAATGTAAAATACAAATATAAATTAAAATAAAGCAAACAAAATCAAAAAGAAAATAATAAAATTAAAAAAGTGAAAATTAAAATAATTTTTTTTTTTTGCAATTCTGTTTCAACAAATATAGCTACAAAATTTTCATTATCCTATATTTAAAGAATGAGTATGGTGGCAGTGAGTATTACTTTTTAATTAATTTTATCTATATAGTCAATAATTATAACAATAATTAGAAGATAAACAATATCGAGATTATTATAGCTTCTATATATAATATATATTTATTTTTCTTGTGGTGGTTTAGCTGTAGCCAAATATGCTAATGCACGTGCAATTGCTTCAGGTACTGGTGGTGGTGTTGGAATATGATCACCTTGTGGAATATAACCATTTTCATCAGCAGTATATGATACACTATATGTTTGGCCATCATCACCAACATATTGAAATTGTCCGCTTACAGATTCACCAGCATTTTCTGGATCAACTTGTTTTAATTGACCCTCTTGATTTGCTTTAGTACCATCACCAGATTCATATCTAAAATTTGTAATATTAATTAAATGATTATAATAATTAAAATAAAATGGAGTAATAACTGTTTTACCAAAAATAAAAATTAAAAACTAAAATATGTGCATAATCACTAACAAAATTTATAATAATGGATACCCTCGCCTAAATATATGCAAAAATAATTGTGAATGGTTTATATTTCCCGTAGTATAATAACAATCTCTTTATGCTTTTATTTCATGTACAAGATAAACAAATAAATTTTATAAATATTGTCATTTAATATTAGGTTAATAAATGAATATTGACACATTCAAAAATGTTTTAAAAAATTTTAGGAAAATTTCAAAAAAAAAAAATTTAATTTTCCACTGGAAAACTAGTCCATACTTCTAAACAGATTTTAAATTCAGTATTTAAAATTCGGAGAACTTTATTATTATTGTACGTAATTAAAATTTTAATTTAAAATATTGTTCATATTTAGAATGCCAATAAACCATATTGGGCATAAAATTTCCGAGGAAAATTCAAATTTTTCGTAACTAATTATAAAATTTGCATGATTCCAATGCGAACAATTGAAAATAATATTAAAATATTTTAAGACTTTTGTTTAAATCATGGTTATTATTACAAAAATTTTATGATATTTTAAAATACGCAATTCTCTATATTCACTAAATCATATTTCAATTATATTTAAAAAAATTTAAATTTTATCGTAAATTAATTACAATATTTAAAAATGCTAACAAATATTAGTCTTTACACATTTTAGTAAACTAATTAACACATTTCATTAAGTTCCACATTTTTTCACTAAAAATATATAAAAATTTTTACATATTTTACATTCTTATCATTTTAAATACTCGAAAATTAAATTCGACTCTCGAAATTGAAATTTAAAAATCGTGATGCGCGCACAAATGTTTTCAAAACATTTAAAATTTCACTGTTATTTTGAAATTTTTTTTTATTATTTTATTTTATTTATATGTATGTATATATATGTATTTTTTTTTTTTTTTTTTGGTTGCTTACTGGTAATGAAAATTTCCGTTATGTTCTACATTTGATTCTAAATTAATGATTGGAACTTGTTGCTTTAATTCTTTAACATCGGCAACAACAACAGCAAAAATTAAACAAAAAGTGAAAATTACGAATTTCATTTTTTTTTTAAATTAAGAATTTTTTAAAAATCAAGGAAATTAAAATTAATTTTTTATAATGTTGTTTAATGTACGATTAAAATTGAACTAATAACAAAAATTTTAATAACTTTTGCTTTTATACTTAAAATTTTATTTCAGGAATTTGATTTTTTTCATAACAAAATTTGTTACGAGTGGTTTTGACTTTTTCAAAAAATTTCATTCTTTTTTTTTTTTTTTTTTTATCTCTTTTTCTAGTCTCTTCTTTTTTGTCTCTCATATAATCTTAAATCCATCAAAAAAACATTTCAATAGAACAAGACAAAAGATAAGAAGAAAATAATAATAACATTAAATGGCAATAATAGAACCCCACTGTCTATAAGCCTTTTTAGTTTACAATTGCTTGTTTGGTAAATTTTAGGAACTTTTTGAAGTTTTCTGGATTAAACTGGAATATTCAAAATTATAGGATTTCGTTTATTAAAGTACAGATGTTCTTTTTTTTTGTATTTGGATTCCATTAATTTAAAAATTGAATTTCTTACTGAAATCGAAGTTAAATGTTTGAGAAATCTTCAAAAACAAAATTTTGGACAATGCCTAATACCAAAATTATAACACATGAATGATAGCGTTGGTCTACTAGAAGGAAATTAAACTCAAACAATTTACTTTTTGAAAATATTGCATTAAGTAACTTCACAATTTCAAAACTAAATGATGAATAGAAAGCAATATACAGAATAAGTAACAGAAACTGTTTATCGCATTCATTCATAAAAATTTAGAAACAAATTTACCTTCATTTTCAGTTAAGGTTTTGAAAATAAAAGTATTAAACGTGTATAAAACTGTATTTAAAAATAACAATAAGATGAAAAGAAAATTCAATGTATATGCTTGCGATGAAGTACCTGTAACCTACCTATACTTTAAAATATCGTACTAATAGCTTGGCAAAAAAACAACAACAATTATTATTATAAAAGGCTCACCTAAAAATTAAAAAAAAAAATATAAGTAAAGATTCCATACCAATTCATCTTTTGTTCAAAATTGCGAAAAATTCATTTTAAATATTAGAAAAAATCTATAAGCATTTTGAGTAAAGGAGGCCAAAAAAAATCATTGGAGGATAGGTATTTAGCCATTTTGTACTTTTCCAGCGTTAAATATGCAAAAATAAATTGGAAATAGTAAAAAAAACTTAAAGAAATATGTGTAGGTCTATTATTTGCATATTAATATGAGTGTGTGTATATACTCGTATTAAAGGCTGTTTATAAAGTAAATAATAGAAAAATAATAATAAGTTAGTGGAAAAAAGGTTTTATATATAGAGTGTAGGTGATTTGCCACAATTAAAAAAAAAAAATAAAATAAACATTGAAACATTTTTTTTAATGTCGACAACTTATATAACTGTAATTCATTGTTAAACGGTAATAAAATATATATACATATAACTATTCGAATATACTTTGATTTTTATGTAAAAAAGTGATTTGTATTTTTGACACTTCACGCGTGATTCATTGCAGTTCAATTGGTTGAATGGTTAAAGTTCTAATAATTTCAATTTGATATGCCATTCCACCACATGAAAGCATGATTGAAGCCCATAAATTAATAAAGAAATGGCAAATTACTGAAATATTGAATTTAAGAAAATTATTGAATGGTCGATAAGCAACAAATTTCATTTTTTCAATCTGTCAATTAACCGACAAAATCATATGATTTGACGTTTTTAGATTGCGTAAAATATTTTTGTTTAAATACCATTCGGACGCGATTGAAGCATTGGAAAACAATATTGAATGAGAAATTGCTAATATTCCTGATTGAATGTACAAAAAGATGGTGCAAAATTGAGCCATTGAGCTACTTTAAATATAATTTTGACATACGTTTATGTTAAATTATGTGTGATTAATTAATATTGATAATCTGTTCAAATAAGAATCGTACTCTTTCATTTGGTAGATTACTAGTACCTTTCACCTATGAAACACTCATTCAAATACAAAAAGTTGCTTCAATCATGTACAATAAATTGTATATCCTATAGTTTGTCAAACTAACTGTAATTTTTTTAACAATGTTGTAAAAGTACAATTATAGTATTGTATAATTTTTATAAAATATTTCAAATGGATTCAAATGTCAAAAATAAAATTTGAAATCTCACTTTTTAAGTGATTTTTAATAAGTACAATCAAATGATGACTAATGGGTATATAGTTAAAATTTCAAATTTGTTAGGTACTTGTATAATTTTACATTTTATTTACTTTTACTATATGAATAAGCTTCCTTAATACTATTTGAATTGTTTTGTTTTGCATTTTTAAAAGAAATTATTAATGTTAGTGTTATTATAATTTCTTTTATACAGGAATTAAAGGCAACTTAGTTTCTTGTTTTTTTTAATGTGGAATTGGTTGAATTTATTAAAAATTTGTATGCCTTAAAACACTAATGAAATTTTATTATGTGCGCGATTTTAAAGATAAATCACAACGCCATCTTTACATTGAAGTTTTGAATTAATCAGAAATTCATTTTAGATAAGATGCTTGCGAGTGTAGAAATTGTTTTGATAATATTTCCAAATAGTATTTGTGAACTTGGGTGTAATAAATATTTTCTGTTATAATTTTTCAAAATAATTAACAATGGTCAGATGAGATATATTTCTGACGTATGTCAAATATAATATGAAATGACATTATAGAATTTGATGAATTTTGTAGCACAACATTTTTCTTGCAATTTTAAAGCCACTGCGGATTTAATTAGAAAAATTAAAATTTTAACTCGAATATATACATTTTTTACGATTTAATGCTAACTAATTGGTATTAGGTGCTAATTAGTTGGTAATATTTGCTAATTAGTTGGTATTAGCTGTTAATTGCTTGGTACGATAATTTATTTAGAGATTATATAATTTATTAAAATGTTATATTGATTTTTTAATTCATGTTTTCGTCATGGGAATAAATGATATTTTTTGATTTTATTTTAATTGTTTTTTTTAATTTTGAATAATTGCTACTAGGGGGAAAATATATAAAACAAATTATTGAATTTGTTTTGGGAAAATAGAATTAAGTTTGATCTAATATTCAAATAAAATTTGATAGTGAATTTTAGAATTCTGTACAGTTAGGTAACGGGAAAATAAATTTTCTAGAATTTTATGGAAAACTTCATGTTACCCCAGATTAAATTTTATATTGCAAGGTTTTTGTCAACACATGATTTTTTTAAGATAATTGGTATATATTTCGTGTATGAATGTTTAATTTATAATTATTAATGTTATTCAAACTGTTAATTATTAATTTTTCTCATGAGATTTTGATTTTCTTATAGTATACCATACGAGTACAAGCATAATAAGAATGATAAATAAATTTTTTTGTATATCGTGACTATAATTTGGAAATTTTATTGTATAATTTAAATCTTTTCATTGACATTAATAAAATAAAAATGTAATAATTACTCTATATACTAATTTTTAATATAAATGTAAGAGTGTTGAACTTAAATTGATACTATATGTTTAGTTTATTTTCTCAAGATTGAAATATATAGTTTAAGAAAATAATTTCTTAAATGGCAGAATAGCTATGAAAAAATTTAAGTTATATTGCACAGAATTTGTATATTTAATGAGCTGTTTTAGACTTTTAAATTTATAATAATCAAATGTAGATCACATTGACGGACTTTCTTCAAGAAATAATTAGCGTTTTTTTGAAAAATTTTTAGTTATTCAATTCAAAATTTTGTGTTTGATCGGTTCTCAATTGAAAACGGCAAGTGTGACATCAATTAACGGCATACTGTTATGTAGATCTATCAATTGTCAAAAAAGTATTCGAATGCAATTTTGCTGTAGCTTCAACAGCTTTGAAGCTATAATGGATATTCGTTTTACAAAATGTTTTAATCCGATTTAACTCTCCATCTTCCACCTTTCCTTAACCCGCCGAAACTATCCCTAAGCGTCGGAATTCCTCCCCTTGCTCAACCCCAAACCATTACGATTTTTTCCTTAAAAAACTAAAATCGTCTCCGGAGAACTTTGACACTTAGACCGAACCACCTTATATATTATATAGGTATGCTTATGTGATTTAATTTTAATATTACCTTTAATTTTATTTTGAATTTTAAAATTTTCAAATTATAAATTTCTAAATTTTCAATAATAAATAATTAAAGCTATAATTTTTCTATTTCCATTGATTTAGAGAATTGTTATTGCATTCTATTCTTGTTTTGCCTTTAAACTGTTCTTCTTTACTATTATATTTTATATTTTGCATAACAGTTAAAATTTATCATAAATTTTGAAGATTATAATTTTAAAAATTTATAATAATCTTTATTTTATTATATATACAATATATATATATATATATATAGTCGCGGTCATATAATATTACGTAACATTATATTCAAGAATCTCAAAAAAAAAAAAAAAATAAAAATAATAGAATATTCTGAAAATGAAAACATGAAAGTAAAATTTGACCGTATATCCGGATCATACTACATATATATTATTAACCCTTTTCGTCTCAATTTACCTAACCAAATTCCTGTATTAATATTCAAATTTCAATATTTGACTGTAATCCAAAATTAGAAATATCTTAAAAATTACAGTCTCTTTCACATTACAGTAGAACATTCACAAAACACATGGTGTAAATCCCCAACCGTCTAAATATTCTGGCCAACCTTTAAACGTTTTAATTAGTCTCTTAGTTATCTTACTGAAGAGATATTGTGAACATGTGGTGAATATGTGTGTGTGGAAACATATTGGAATTTTTCAATGGTTTTTAACTTACCCTGGCTCTAATAATTGGGCATAATTTCTTACGCATTTTCATACGATTATCGCAAATTTTATATAACAATAATTGCTGAAAAACATTACAGTTAATTCTCTCTCAGAGCATATGCATATAAACTTTTACCATAAAAAAAGT